ATATTCTAAAGAGCCCAGAGGGCCCCTCCCCTTGCCTATCAGACTGTTGAAACAATGGTCCCCAAAGACTTGGAATTTTCCCCCCAGGAAACTCATGCTGGGAGAAGGCTGAAAGCTAAAGCCTGGTGCCAGCCCCGGGGGACAACTGTCTCCCAGGAAGAGTTCACACAGTTCTGGCAACTAGTCAGACCACCTTGTAGGAGAGAAGAGGCCAAAGATGATGGGTGGGACCAACCTTGACCAGGACTGCTCACCTACATAAACCTGTTTAAACTTAAACCTATCAGTATCCATGAATATGTAGGAGCAAAAGGATGGTACCAGACCTCTGTGAGCACCCTGAGTAAGTTTTCTTTCTCTAGTAAGTTTTCTTTCTCTGTTTTTTTATCTTTTTTATTTATTTTTTATCAATTACAGTTTATTCACTTTGTATCCCAGCTGTAGCTCCCTCCCTCATTCTCTCTCAGTCCCATCCTTCCTCCCTCATCTCTTCCCATGCCCCTTCTCCAGTCCACTGATAGGCGAGGTCCCCCCCCATCTGATCCTAGCCTATCAGGTCTCATCAGGACTGGCTGCATAGTCTTCCTCTATGGCCTGGTAAGGCTGCTCCCCCGTCAGGGGGAGGTGATCAAACAGCCAGCCACTGAGTTCATGTCAGAGACAGGCCCTGTTCCCCTAACTAGGGAACCCACTTGGACACTGAGTTGCCATAGGCTACATCTGTGCAGCGGTTCTAGGTTATCTCCATGCATGGTCCTTGTTTGGAGTATCAGTCTCAGAAAAGACCCCTTTGCACAGATTTTTTGGTTCTGTCGCTCTCCTTGTGGAGCTCCTGCCCCCTCCAGGTCTTTCTATCTCCCCTTTCTTTCATAAGATTCCCTGCACTCTGCCCAAAGTTTGGCTATGAGTCTCAGCATCTGCTTTATACCCTGCTGGGTAGAGTCTTTCAGAGGCCCTCTGTGGTAGGTTCCTGTCCTGTTTCCTGTTTTCTCCCTCTTCTGATGCCTATCCTGTTTGCCCTTCTGAATGAGGATTGAGCATCTTACCCAGGGTCCTCCTTCTTGCTTAGCTTCTTTAGGTGTACAGATTTTAGTGTGTTTATCCTATGTTATATGTCTAATATCTCTTTAACTGATATATTGAGGATGGGTAGCCAAGCCTAGCTTGTTAGAGCTACTGAGACCCAGGCCCTGACTCAGCCTCCAAAAACAGACACAGTGAGGATGCCTAGCCTCAGAACATGTACAGCTGCAGGCAAAAAAGCCCTGTGATCTTGGGGACCTCACAGACTTTGCTGAGCCTCAGAGGTGACCTCACAGGCAAAGGATCAAGCATAGAAGAAGTACTCAATGAATGACAACCAGGCAAGGTAACCTGGCCAGTTACATGGTCTAGTGCTCTCACACTGACCATCTGAAAGCACCTTTGAAACAATTCCACATCCAAGGTCAATGTCAAAGGATTCTCAACCCAGGCAGGGCCAGGGATACTGGATGCTTTCTGTATTGAGAAATGACGCTACCCGCACAAACCCTCCTACGCAAGCGTCTGGCAGACTGCACCACACAACTCAGTGCCGGCAGCTTTAACAGCAACGGTGTATTCCTCCCCAGACATACCTTCCCTGCCTTAGGAAGAAAGCCACACATAGGACAAAAACCCATAGGAGCCCTATTTCAGAGCCCACACACTGCCACAGAGGGAGGGCGGCAGCTGAGCAGGACAGGTGCACAGCCATGGACCTGACCAGAGCACCCACATGGGTCCTTGCACCAGCTCCCAGTCACAGACATAATCTTCACAGTTCAGCAGACTCAGCCTCCCCAAGGATTCGCTGAAACAAATCAGAACCATCTCCTGGATGTGGAGCACTGTCTGACAAAGCAGTATGAACAGGTCTGAGTGCTTAGTAAAGAATTGGCGTGTGCATGATCATATTGAAGAAAAGCACACACACACACACACACACACACACACACACACACCACAGAGAGAGAGAGAGAGAAAGACAGAGGCAGACAAGAGAAAGACATGCCATATAACAGTTTAGCCCAAAAACTAACCACAGGACAGTAGTCTCTATAACAGAGCTCACAGCTTCCTACCTCCTGGAAATGTCGCAGCTGCCCAAACATAGTGATTCACGGAGTCTCCCTGTGCTTATGGTGAGATTAGGGTCAGCTGTAACCTTTTTACGTGCACAGCCCATCACGTGAAAATGAGCACACTCAAGCTGGAGAGACGACTCAGCTGGTAAGAGCATCGTCTGCTCCTCCAGAGGTTCTGAGTTCAATTCCCAGCAACCACATGGCAGCTCACAATTATCTATATTGGAATCTGACGCCTTCTTCTGGCATGCAGGCATACACGCAGAGAGAACACTCATCTTTTTTTGAAAAACTGTGCACATTCATTTATCAACAGTCCACAAGAATTGATAAAAACAAGTAACAGTTGTGAGATGGTGGATATATTCCCTATGCTGTAACTTCTGTCTGGGCATATTCCTACTTACATTTTGTTTTTTTAAGATTTTTTCAGTGTAATTTTCTATTATGTATATGACTGTTTGGGTGTGTCGGGTGTATGCAGTGCATGAGGAAGCCAGAAGAGGGTGTTGAATCCCTCGGAATTAGAGTTATCAGTGGTTGTGAGGCACCATGTGGGTGCTGGGAACCAAACTCAGGTCCTCTGCAAAAGCCGCCGGTGCTCTTAACCACTGAGCAGTCTCTCCAAACCCCTTATTTATTTATTTTTAATGTTAACTATAAAAGAGCCTTGGTCAGGTTTTCGGGAGTGAGAGTTCCATGTGTTATTGCCTCCGAAGACTTTCTAAGGAGACAACATGTGAAAGCAGAAGATGCTGGCAATGATGTCCTGATCCCAGGATAGCCTCAGCTCATGTGTATGTTTGAGTGTTAGTTGTTAACAGAAGAAACTTAAAATGTTTTTCAAAATTAAGCATAGGGGTTGGAAAGATGGCTCAGTGGTTAAGGGCATGGCCTGCTCTTCCAGAAGTGCTGAGTTCAGTTCCCAAAAACCACATGATGGCTCACAGCCATCTATAATGAGATCTGGTGCCCTCTTGTGTCATGCAGGTGTACATGCAGATAGAGAACTCATACATAAAATCAATAAAAATTAAGCATCGGCTGTGCCATCATAGTCAGCTATACCACCTTGGTCTGTGTAAATACCCTCTAGCAGTGTAATTCTCAGCAAGTGCTTCCATCATTAAGAAATACATGTTTTATATATGTGTATATATATGTATATACATATATACATGTTACGTATGTAAAACATATAACATATATATGTTAAGTACACATAGAAATGACATAACAGACACAAATCAGTATATACAAGTTACAAAAATACATACATGATCAGTAATCATACAGTGTACACAAACAGAAAAGTATAAACAACAAATACATACAACATTTACAAATATACATACTCATATAAATGCAACAATACATGTGATCTGCACATTCCTACAAACATACTAATTACAGGCAGCATAATACATACATCTACGTGCCCATCCACTTATAACAATACGTGCACAGTACACATGTAGATGTGCCTCAAGACCCTGACTATGTACGCAGTTCACAAAGGAGTGGAGGGGAGGGGATGACGGTGCCCCGAGGCAGCCCTGAAACCATTACAGGCAGTCTGGGTGTGCGTCTATGGTACTCAGCCCTTGGTGCTCTAGCATGGTCTCTACAGTTGGTAAAAATCCCTCCTGCGACCTCAGATGCATACATAGCTTACACTCCCAGAGGAAGAAGACTTTTGAGAGCACAATCACAGCAATCACCTTGTGAATGAGGCACCAATTATGTGCAAACCCAACCCTCTTTTCTTTTCTTTTCTTTGCCTTCCAGCTAAGTCACAGACCACCACCGGCCTCGCTGGAAACAGAAGGAAACTGAGGCTCTTGGTTTGGCCAGGATCTGAGCTTAGCTTCTTCAGGAGAACAAAGCTAGTGGGCTACCTCTCAGCTCAGCCCTCTACGAACATTCTACGGCCCTACCAGACAAAGCCAACCTCGGATCTACCTCTAAGCTCCATCCACAAAGACATGAAGGCCCCAAATGAGCCTTCAGATGCTACATATGGGAAAAGCAAGGTGGCCACATGACCCCACCCAGTGTGGAAAAGTCAAACAACACACATGTAAAGTCCCTTGGCAGATGCAGCAGGTTCACTAACTCCATCGCAACCGAGGCTGGGACAGCGTGTACTCTCCTAGCTAGGCAGCATCACAGGGGCCTCCTCAGAACCACTCCTGACAGGTAGAAAGAAGGGATGCCTGCTTCCTACTTCCCAGTCCACAGGCCTCCTACAAGATAAGGAGTCACTAAAAACAATGGGTGAAAACCAAGAAGACAGGTTGCCATGACATTCAAAGCAGAACCCTTCAAGGAGCAAAGGGAAACTTTACATTCACCTAATGACAAGTCAAAGAGAAAGTGTTGCTGTGTGTACTTTCAGTGAGATAAAAGCATGGCGTATGTCAGAGGTGAATGTTGGCGTTGCTGGATCATTTGCAAAGCTACCCTGGGACACTGGTACTGACTCAGGTACCTTAGGTCAGGAATCCAAGCCCTAAAAGTAAATGTTACTGATCCTAAAGGTTGCTACTACAGAAGAGCACAGGGATTGTCTATCTTTTGTTTTGTTTTTGTTTGTTTTTTTTTTGTTTGTTTGTTTGTTTGCTTCTCAAGACAGGAATTCTCTGTGTAGCCCTGGCTATCCTGGAACTCGCTTTGTAGAGCAGGTTGGCCTATAACTCTGCCTGCTCTGCCTCCTGAGTGCTGGGACTAAAGGCGTGGCCACAGTCAGACAGGATTTTCTATCTTAAGGAAAACAAATGAGAATGCACTTCTACCCTGTAGGTGAGAAAGGTCCCCAAGGAGGGCATAGCCTGTTCTAAGAGATCACTGTAGCTGATCAGACCAAGTCCAAGAGGAATTCGAAGGTCTTACCTGGTCCAGGCGGACTTGCACAGAGCAGGGAATCACCACCTTAAAAGGGAAAAGAAACATGAGCAAGAAGTTCTCAGGCAGCAAACACAGCAGCAAAAGCCATTCCTGTTACACAGCTCGGGCTGTGTAACAAGAACTGGAGTCAATACATTCCACGTCCTGTAACTCGGAGGAAATTCGGGTCCTTTTTGGGAATTTCAGAAAAAAAGAAAAGAGAGAGAGAGAGATACCCATCCAAATTAAATAAATCCGCACGTCACTCATAAAAACACAAGTTCACCTTGAGTTTCAAGCAACCAGTGTATGCCCAAAGAGTCCTTCCTCACAAAGGAACATGAGAAGTAGAGCCCAGGGTGGTTTTAAACTGCCCACAGTCTACACATACACCTTCAGGGATGTGTCTTCTCTGAAAAACAGGCTGCTTTTCTCTAGAACTATCTCTGCATGTGGAACTGAAAACTAGTATAAATGTACTTATTCCCGTCAGCACATAAGAGAGTGGAACAAACTTCCCACATCAGCTCATTAAGCATTTAGGGAAAAGTAGTGAAGCATCAGTGAAACCCCATGCTAAGAGAGCAGCTGTGAAGGCTACAAAAAAATTGCTAACACAGAGATTGCTGTGTCCTGAGTTAGAAGTCCCTCTGTGAGTCAAGACGTTGCACTTGCTTGTTTGTCTGGGAGGCTGCTGAGGACCTTGCTCCCATGACCTGCAGCACTCCCCAGCTTTCTCCTTCAGACTCTGGCTCACTTCTGTTCTCAAAGGGTTTTCTGAAACTGGAAAGGAAGGAGACATTCAGGGGGTATGACCAGTCACTGTAGTTTCCAGTTTGGAGCAGTAGGCAGACCTTGGTCCCTGCTATGGACACTAATTATATGCCTCTTGCTTATCTTATCTAGTAAGTTTCTCAAGAACTATGTGACACACGGCCATTCATCTCTATGTGACACACCATTATTTGACCCAGGATCCTGACGCATAGTCTTGGCAGAGACAGGGGTCCTCTGTCTTTGCAGTCACCCTTCTCTCTAACGACATCCTCATTGCTTCTGCACTCATACAGCAACTGGCAGGCAGAAACAGTATTTTGAATCTGTGTGTCCTCAGTTCCCCATGCACACACTGGATTTTGATGGGTGAGTGGGGAAAGAGGCCCATGAATAACCGTAAAGTGATGCCCATGGCTTTGGACACACAGGAAGCTGGTGCTGGCACCTTAAGGGCTGGTGATGGCATTGCACAAGGGAAACGCATGGTTAATAGAAAGTCATGATTCACTTCATTCCAGCAAGCCTCCACAGGGTTACACAGGCATCCTGGTGACTTGTGATATAGTCACGCTTAAGGAATGAATGAGGAATCGGTCTCTGCCTTTAGGATGTCACCTGTATTCCACAACACATCAATCAGGAAGCAGAAATGGCCTACCAGGACACAAAAAGACACAGAGGCACACTGAATGTAAATCACTAAGTTGAAGCAACCAGCCTGAAGATGCTACCTGCTCATGAGTCCAACTATGCAGTCTAGAAAATATAAAGTTATAGAAAGAGTAAAATATTAGTGGTTATCAGGGGCTGGGGGAAGAGATGAGTAAGAGGAAAAACAATGTTGAAACAGTTGAACTGTTCTAACTGATACTGTCATGATGGGTAGGAACATATCACTAACCAGAGTCCAAACTCACAGGATGAACAACACCCCAATGAACCCCCTATGTAAAGTATAGGATTATGGACTTTGGTTAATAATGTATCAATGCTGACTTATCAAGTATTATGCATTATATGGATTTTAAATATACCAAACAAATGCCTAATTTTCTATAAATTCAAAACTATCCTAAATATAAAGTTTATCCATATTTTCAAGTAATTGAGTAGAAGCATGTGTGGGAGGAATTCCTATGCCATACCAAACAGAAACTCAAAATTAAAAACAGCAGGTAACAGCTGGGCAGAGGCACATGACTTTAATCCAAGAACTCGAGCTAGGGGCAGGCGAATCTGTCAGTCTGAAGACAGCCTGGTCCACAGAGTTCAGACCAGGCAAGGATACATAGTGAGATCTTATCTAAAAATCAGAGGGGGAAGGTCCTCTGTATCCCACATCCTCCTATAAGCAGGTGTTGTGTAGGATGCAGCCCTAAGGCCTGCAAAAGAGACATAAGCTCTGTGATCAGAGGCTACTCAAGTCCTGGACAGACCATCTACAATCAAAAAAACACATAAAGATATGTCCTTCCAATGTAGCTATGACTGGGTATCAGGACAAGAGACACCTGGATGTAACCAGTATTTCTAGTTTACTTCTCGTTTAGAACGAGGATGGCAACTGACTGCAGCTAGAACATGCTGCCTCTCTCAGGTTGCTTGCGTTCTTGGTTCCTGCCAGGCAACTTGGCACTAAGAACTGTGGGCACCTCAAAGTACTGTGATTAGACCCTGTGGCGGTGTTTGTGGGCCTGTGGGTTCCACCTGTCTAGAAAGCTGGACACAGCTTCTTCACACTTCTTTCTACTCACTGGAGCCCACAAAGCTCTGGGGCTCATTGTTACTACTGTTCTTGGCCCTGTGACCTGCAGACCCACCCGTCTACCTTCCAACCTCATCTCTTGAGGATGAAGAGCCAAGAGACATAGCAAGGGCAGGCAGCTGTCCAGCCGATAGGAGGGTCACTCATTGTCAATCTGGAATCCAGATTGGGATGGCACCTCATCTTATCTGCTCATTCCTCATCTTCAGGTGCAACTCTGATCTAACACTCTGGTCTTCGAACCCTTTGCAAGTAACTGAGGGAAACACTGTGGCTCTGGGACATTTCCAGTCTCAAGATATCCATCCAAGGCCACAAGGTGGACTGAAAACTGAGTAGCAAACACCAATTCGGGGCACTGGGACAAGGGCCCTCCCAGTGCCACTCCGTGCTTTGGTATGGTCCTACGGCTGTTGCTCTGAGCTGAGGCAGCTTCTTCTGTGTATGGTTCCATGGTGTGCACATACCATCTAGAGCATAGCACCATGAAGGCTCAGCAAGATGCAGAAGGGTGGAGACTGGAGGACTGCAGGCTCAAAGCCAAGAATCAGGACACGCCCTCATGAGCCCATGAATGTGCAGGCTCAAGTCAGCTCCATAAACATGTCCTACAAGGCAAAACTGTCTGCGGGTCTTTGTCCTGAACCCTACCAACAGAGAAGGCCAGCACATCCTTCCCTGTGCATGGGAAGTTGAATCAAGAAGGACTGCCAGAGGTTGAACCTTGTAAGACAGAAGACCAACTGGGTCCCAGTTGCCTTCCCTCTTCTTGACAGATGCACCCATTGGGGTCAGGGGGACAAAAGGCGGCAGCAAAGGGGCAAGGCTGGCCCAGGAGAGGGCTATAAGCCCTGAGCTATGAGCAATAGATCTTGGGACTCATGTCCTTCTCCTGACCTGACCAGGGCCCCTCAAGAGAGACCTTCCTGAGAGACATTTTATAGCCTTCCCTTGGCTTTGTCTGTAGCCTAATCTGTGGTTACCAAGGGCAACCACAAACAAACAAGGCTTTGCCCAACCCACACCTGGCTATGTGGGTGCCTGGAGCCTGCTGATGCTGATAACCTTGTCTCCAAGCCAGCAGGTCATCGAGGCGGAAGCAGAAGAGGCAAAAGACCTTCTATACAGTATGACTGTGTCTCAGGAGTGAGTGAGTAAATTGTGAGTGAATGGCAATGTGTGTATTTTTTTGCACTTTATTTAAATTTTTATTATAAAGAACTTGCAAATAAAAACATCACATAGCAAAATTAACCAGATCCAAAGTCTATACATCTCAGTGGACTTCTATACAGTTAGAATAGCTAGTTTCTAGAGGGAGATATTTTATAATATTTTTTAATTTTTTATTAATTACACTTTATTCACTTTGTATCCCCCAGTAGCTCCCTTCCTCCTCCCCTCCCAACCCCTTCTTTTCTCCCTCCTCTGCACGAATGACCCTCCCCAAGTCCACTGGTAGGGGAGGTCTTCTTTTCCTTCCTTCTGACCCTAGTCTTATTAGGTCTCATCAGGAGTGGCTGCATTGTCTTCCTCTGTGGACTGGTAAGGCTGCTCCCCTCTCAGGGGGAGGTGATCAAAGAGCAGGCCAATCAGTTCATGTCAAAGACAGTCCCTGTTCCCATTACTATGGAACCCACTTGGACACTGATAACCTAGAACCCCTGCACAGATGTAGCCCATGGCAGTTCAGTGTGTGTGTATTTTAAATGCAGGGACTGGGAGGAAGGTGGGGGTGGGCTCTGTGGTACAGAGCTTGCCTAGAATGTGTGATCCCCAAATTTGGACTTTTTTTTCTTTGAGTTGGTATGGCAATCTGTGTGTGGCTAGAAGTCTAACGGTCCTGCGACTGAGTGTGTGGCTGTGGATATGTACGTGTGTGTATGTGTGTACACATGCCTGCCTTGTGTGAATATGTGAGTGTGTGGGTGTGTCTTCTATGTGTCAGAATGCATGCATGTCTGTCTGTGAGTGTGTCAATATGTGCTTCTATCAGTGTGCCCACAGTCCTGTCATACTGAACCAGGGGCAAAGGCAGATCTCTGACCAACAAATGAGTCTACTTTGAAAAGGAAAGCTTCAGCCACAGCCAGCTGCCTCTGCCCCCTCACCATGGCCATTGGGAGCCTCTGGTGTGAGAAGAGGACCAGTTCCGCTGTGAATACCATTCAGGATATCAAAGTCCCCAGAGAAAGAAAAGACAACCCAAATCCATGGTTTGTAGACTGTCTTCTTTCTCATTTACACAATTAAACCACAAACTCAACCCTTGTTGTTGTGTTCAATTAAACCTCATTTTGGCCAAGCCCTGTCAAGAGCGATTATTTTTCTACCAAAATTTCTCTAAGAGACACATGGTTGTAACCACTACGTGCTACTACATGGAATAAAGGTTAAGTTTGCATTCAACCTTTTGTGAATTATCAAAAATTTCAATACCATTGGGTCCCATGAACAAGCTTCCTACAACGTCACAGAAGCCTGGAAGAAGAATGGATAGACG